AAAGACTGCGGGGTCGATGCTACACGTGAAGACACACACACGTACTCTCACCCATTTCTAATGCCCGCAATGCAGCCGTCCTCATACTTCAACGGCCACTTGTCAGCGTGTTGTCACTCACTTCCCTCGGTACCGGTGTCTGCGACAACTGTTTTTTTTTCTGTTTCTTTTATGTGATTGTGTCTGAAGCTTCGACGTGTCTCTCTTCCATCGTTCACGTTTGTTGCTCGCAGGTACGGCAAATGGACCCCTATCATCTCAACATGAGGATTGCGGAGATGACTGCGGAGAAACTCGCGACGAGTGCCGAACTGAAGAACAGCCCTGATCTACTCGTTCCATTCGCAGCCAAGTTCATGGAGAACGAGAGGCTGCTCAGTCTTAAGTAAGTATTGGGAACCACGCCTGCCTTCATTCTGCGGGCGTGGTTGGGTGTACAGTATGATTCCCTCCTGTTATTTTTGCAAAATACATGTGATCCACCCGTGCTTTTTTTCTCTTGTGGCCCTTGTCTTCTTGACTTCATAGTTCATCTAGTTTATTCGGTTTTGGCTGTCGTTTTGTGTATGGTGCACACTGTACAACCAGAGGATGACATCTGCCTTTCATCGACGACACAAACTCAGTTTTCGTCCGCTTTGTTCCCTTCCTTCTTCGGTTCTTGACGGCGTTTGCCCCACTCGTCGGCAGCAAGCACGTCAAGCCCCTGGGCTTGGGCAACTTCCTCGTCCAGGAGCACGGCAAGAGCCAGTACGCCAACAGGGTTACGATCGTGCTGCCGGACACGGAAGGGAAGGGTGGCCGCGTCGAGTGCACCTGCAGAGTTCCTTCCAGGTTCCACCTGCTGTGCCAGGACGCCCTCGCTGTGTTAAAATGTAACCGTCCATTGGGTTGAAAACATGGATCGGAATTGATTGCAAACATGCTTCGGTTAGGTGTCCTCCGTTGTCCGTGTGTGTTCCGTCTTTGTTCTCTTTATGTTTCATTGCAGCAGGTCACGTGCAATGTGCGACTTCATGTAATGTAGTACGGTTTTGTACATCGGTTTGTCATCCTCGAATCTCATCCCTGGTGTTCCCTCTGGTCAGAGCTCGAAGTTGTTTCTTCTTTTGCCTACATAAGGTCCGGGATCTATGTTGACTATGAACGGGGTTCTCGTAGAACGAAGTGGGATCCCCTCTGGCTGTGCATGCTGTACTTGTGCCCGAAGCTTTGTATCATCTTCGTGTGTCATCTTTGTATTTCATCGCCACGTGTGAGTTGGCACACCCGGAGGGAGCTAGCACCACCACCCCCTCTCGATGGACCGCCATGAACGTAGCCAGATCTTTTTGTAATGGTTGATATTTGTTTTGGGTCCTTTTGCTAGAACTGCGGGATTACGTGATGCTTTGCCGAACACACTTTGCCACCTCCGATGTTAATTAAGGGCTCACCTTGAGGGTAAGAGTTTCACAACAAAAACGAACAGGCATGAAAGCAGGGGCCTGAAAACAACCCTGCCCTTCACCCAACCCAGCGAACGTTTCCTGCTTTGATCGCAGTTCGTTTTGACTCGTCCTCGTGTTGCAGGTTCAATCACTTTTGTTGTGCCCACCGCTTCTTTTGAGCAAATCTCTACTCCTTCGGGGTTTGGTGCGTCGAAGATGAGCTGGGTTAAACCTGAGGTTCCAGGCCGTCTGTTGTTTCGCTGATTCCACATTGTTGTACTTGACGCATTTGACTGACCATTACTTACGACTCTTCGCCCTCGTCCCGATCCCGTGACAGCAATCGACAGGCTCGACTGCACGAGGGCGCTTATTGACAGCGGGTACACCCTGGCTTCCTTCAGGGGGATCCACAGCAACCCCGACTATCCCGTCGTACTCCCCATCTGGTCAGAGCTTTCGAAGGGCGACCTCCTTCCCCCGCGCCAGGTGACCGGGCAAGCTGGTGCTCCCAAGAAGGGCGCCCGGCAGCGTGCGCGATTCCCTGGTCTCAACGACAACTGCCAGCGTGGAGGCGGCCCGGTAGCCCGAGACGCAGGTGTGCGTGGCGGCGGGGGCAGCGCTGAGCGTGGCGGGGGCGGCAACGCCCAGCCGCTCCCGGTACATGGCATGGGCAGTGTTCGCAGCCACGTGGGAGACCTCAACATCGGAGGTTCCGCGGGCGAGCGACCCCCCTCTAGGGTGTGTGGGGGGCTTGCTGTTGAGCGTTACAGCTCGCAAGACGCTCCCCGCCGCGATAATGCAGCGGGGGCCGGGTCAAGTGCCGTGCTGAGCCAACCCCAAGGCTCTATCGACATGTCGTAGTTCAAGCAAGCTGTTTTGCTCATCCTTTTGGATTTCTTCGTCGCACGGTGTCGGAGTGACACTCGAGGCTGTTGTTCGTGTCTATGGCAGCAAGGTGCTTCAAGTCGCATGTGTTTACAGCTTTGCGTAGAGCACCCGCCACGGGCGGGACACGTTGTCGGAGTGACGTGCGAGGCTGTGGTCCGCGTGTATGATAGGGTGCAAGACGTCGCATGCATGTGTCTGCAGCTTTGCGTAGAGCACCCGCGACGGACGGTGCGCTTTTTGTTGCGTATATTTTTCGCTTGACCGTCACCAAAAGCGACATTTGACAACCTCGCACATAATTGGGAGGGATAGGTGGAGTTGACGTCAAGAATGGGCAGAGCCGTCGAGCTCCAAGGGGAACCAGTTGTCAAGGACGGTCGGCGTGAACCACTGCATGATTGTTCCGTAGACTGCTGTGTGTATGGAGCGCTTGTGACGATAACCGCGACAAGCAAGAGCGTGTGCCCTTCACCCCCCACCGAACGATTCCCACCCGAGCATTCACCCCGAAAAACTTCATGAAATCCCTCCCTGTAACCGAATAAAGTGGTGTCCATTGCCTTCATTGTTACTTATCGATGGTGGGGGCTGTTGCAGTGCGCCGTCTAGAAACAAAGCACGCAAAAAAAAGTGTTTGCTCGCGCCCTCACATATCGAAAACAAGTTGGGTCCCTTGTTTCCATGCGTTTATTGGCGTCCCTTGCATTGTACGACGTCGAAACTGCGTGACTTTTTGTATGTCATCGACAAGCTACACGAACGGGTACATCCTTTGTTGACTGCCTTTCGGTGCTTGCGTGCACACAGAATACTGCATCACCCCCGTCCTCGTATGCAAAAATTCGCGTATATAATTTGCGGACGTACACTGCTCAATGTACGGCGGCAGTAGTAGTCTGGTGTGCATAATAAAGAGGGATGGGACGGGATCTACATTGTCCTTTGTTGGCTATGTACGTTAACCTCTCTCTCTAAGGAAGCACCTACCGACTACACTACTGCTGCATGGTCGTGTATTACTGCTAGGGTTCAACCCACGCAACAACATTTCAAGCATACAGGATTATCATGGTGGTTTGGTGGAGCTGAGGCTTGTCTACTGCACCCTGAGTATCTTGCGTAGACTACACACTATCTCACATGTGGTGCCCATCACCCACTGCACCACCTGCTGTATGTAGTCTTCTGCCAAAAAAGTTCTTAGTCCATTAGACTATTGGGTGATGGTGCGGACGTGAGTGTGTTCTTGGTGTGGGATGAGGACAGCGGTACAAGGCTAACTTCGGGCGCCGCTCCTTGGACCAAAGCTCCTTCGCCGCCACTCACTCACTCCCGTCCGGCCTGTGGCGTGTTTGCATGCGTTTTGTTTGTGTCTCAAGTGTGATGTGTGTGTCTCGCTTACCAGCCAACTATTTGACTATCTGTTGTAAGAGGGGTGTGTAAGAAGATGTCTGGCTTCTCAGCGGGATGAAATACAAAGAATACCAACGCGAACACTCTCTCTACCGACAGGGAGGTGCAGGAGCTGGGAGCTGGACGACACGGCAGTGTCCTGCTGCTGCTCAATTTGTGCGCGTGCTACTACAGCAGTACCCTTCCTGCCCTCCCTCCTCTCTCTGCGGCGGCGAGCTCGCGGCCACGACAACACCACCCGTTTGCACATGCGTGCAACTCAACCATGCTGGATCGGTCTGGCGTTCTTGGCGTGACCCGTAATCTCGCATATAGACTATAATAGAGTATAGCAAGCAGTAGTCCTCGGGGTTTTGTCCATGTGCATATATATGCACAGCATATAGAGTAGAGACTGGTGTCGACTGCTTTCCGAACGGCGTTGTGTTCGCCAGTCATGGTTGACTGAGAGCGGGAAGAGTTGAGGTTGGTGTTGTTTCGCAGGGGCGGAAACTCATTCCTGCTCCGTTTCCATGGTTGTTTTCGGGCGGGAAGACTCGCCGTATGGTATCCCATGGTTGGCGGGCAAAAGGATTTGGGAAGATTCCTGCGGAGGAAATGGTTGATGGAAGGGTCTCATTTCCCGTCAGTCCAGGGTACATTTCCGAAAACAGGGTACAGTTTTTGAGAAAAGTAGCCACGGCAGGGTATACCCTGCGCTTTTTGCGACGCGGCGGGGTGAAAGTGGGTTTTGACCAATCATATGGGTTCATTTCACGTCGCTGTACACTATGTACCCAGGTCTGTCGCTTTTCGACCAGGGTATACCCTGTTGTGTCGCTTTCCCTTGATCCCAAAAATGTTTGTCAGCCATTGTGCGAGGGATTACAGTCCCTCCAAAGAATTTGAGCTCCTTGCCAGACAATGGGTGACTTGACTTCAGTATGAAAAGTGTCCCCTAAACACGTGGGGACACTTTTCATACTAAAGCCAAGTCAGCAAATTTGTCCAGTACTAGTGTACATTTTTGGGAACTGGGGGGCACGCGGGTTGGAAGATGTGTACAGCAAGTCAGAGGCCCAGGAGGCATCACACAGCATACACAGCGTACCACCTCAGCCAAGCATGATAGACCAAGGGTTCTCACGTACGTTGCATACAGCACAGCCTAGGTCGACTACAATGCGGTAAACAGGCCTTTGAGTGCTGTGTCCCAAAGTGTCCCCAAATCGTCCCCAAAAAGGCTTCCAGTACTAGGAGGGTTAACCGGAAAAACACACCGCTACCGGAAAAACGGCCGCCTACCGGAGGTTTCCACCCTACAGGATACCCCCCCTAGTATCCGGAACATGCTGTTCAAGTGCTGCTGATACGCCTCGGTGGTACGTTGGCTACACGGAGGCTATCAAGGCAGCACCGAGGATGGGTTTCCACTGAATTCGACAGAAAGGAAGTCGACGGAGTGTGGCATACGGTGTGCAGCGGGCACAACACGACTGAGAGCGTGCGAGCGTTCAGCAACGATGCCCAATGACGCGGAATTGTTGACCTTGCCATTCCTAAACACAGCTTTCCGTGCACCTCAAAATCACCAACAGAAAACGCCGCTTGCACCCCAGAGCCTACTAGTGTGGTCATCCTGGTCGTTGGATGCCGCGTCGGCCTTGGGGCCACGATTTCGCCCGTCGTAGCCTTTTCCCCGTTCCTGAGATTCAGATTCGCCCCCTGGCCCACCGCCACCGCTTCTGCCGCCAGTTGCCTTTTACTGTTCGTGGGGCGTTGTTTCTGCATACGGCCGTCGCCGCCGCCTCTGCCGCCAGTTGCCCTCTGCTGTTTGTGGAGCGTTGTGCCTGCATCACGACACCATCAACTAGCATGCTGCAGTTGAAAAGCCATGTGTTCTGTGGCCGCGGCGGAGGCGGTCGCGGCGGCGGCGGCGGCGGTCGCGGCGGCCGCTCAGGCGGATCCGGAGGAGTCGAGGAGAGCGAGGGAAGCAGCAGTGGAGATGCCAATGGCGGCGGTGGCGGGACTATAAGTTCCCGGGCCGGTGCTTTAGGTGTGCACATCGTGGACATCAAGCGATCGGCTGCACTACCAACGAGAAGGACTTCTAGCCGTGGTGTGCGCGCTGTGAGGGGTGGGGCCATACCAAAGAAAAGTGCGCGACGGAGGAGGCCGTCCTAGCGCATGTGGTGGAGCATGAGAGCGACGTGGACTCCGTGGAAGACCAGGCGTTTTGTGCCGTGGCAGTCCCCCCAGCCAACCCTACTGACCTCAACGAGTACCACCTCGCGCACGGCCATGCCCACGAGACATTGCCCAGGATCACGGCGGAGCAGCAGGGAGTGCAGCTGACGGATGGACCGCTGCTACCCTGTCTTGGCTGTTCTATCTCCAAGGGACAGGCGAAACCCGTCCAGAAGAGCACGAGCACACGCGCAGTTAAGAAGTTATTTCGCGTGTATCTCGACTTGGGGGGAAAGATGAAAACCAGGAGCATTGGTGGCAACTGGTACACACTGATCATCAGAGACGATTTCTCCCGTTGGACGCGTGTTTTCTTCTTGAAACACAAGTCTGACGCAGCGGTTGGGTTTGAGAAGTTCCTGGCGGATTACCGAACGAAAGGGGTTCCGTGCGAGGTTGATATCGCACGTACCGACGGTGGCGGCGAGTTCCAGGGGCAGGTTGTCGAAGTTTGTCGCAAACACGGCATCAAACAAAAGTTCACCCACCCTCACACCCCAAAATACACCGGTGTAGCGGAGAGAGCGCGAGGGTTGATCACTGATGCCGCGCTTGCGTCATGCATCCAAGCGACGCAACTGTTCCCCGACGCACCGAACCACCCGGGTTGTGGGCCGAGGCCAGTTCGTGTTAATGCCATCAGCTCAACTGCACCGCCACTAAATCAAACAAGGGAGACAATCCGCCTACGAGATGTTCCACGACTCCCCACCGCCTGTCGGGTCTACAAACCCGTTTCTCAAACCAGCCGTGTTCAAGCCGAGAAGAAAAGCAAAGTTGCAACCCAAGGGCGAAAAAGGATGGTACCTTGGTCCTGCCCACAATCACCCCCGCGACTGCGTTCGCATGCTACCCGAAGCTGGAACCGTAATCACCACCCGCAATTTCACCTGGCGCCACGTGCCCGCTGCATCACCCGCTCCCCCGCAGCTGCTACCTCTCGCAGATGACGAGGAGGGCGAGAGCAGAGCGGATGCATCACGCCAAGGTTGGGGGGGGAGAGNCGACTGCGTTCGCATGCTACCCGAAGCTGGAACCGTAATCACCACCCGCAATTTCACCTGGCGCCACGTGCCCGCTGCATCACCCGCTCCCCCGCAGCTGCTACCTCTCGCAGATGACGAGGAGGGCGAGAGCAGAGCGGATGCATCACGCCAAGGTTGGGGGGGGAGAGAGACTCAGAGAGTGAGTCCGACATCGACGTGATGGAGGCTCGTGGGCCAGGGCAAGCGACGCCGTTTGTGCGCGAGGAGGCGCCGACGGCACCCGGCAACGGGATTCCGGGGGACGGAGGCAGCGTTCCCCCGTGGCCGCCTTCGGCAAGAGNGGGGGACGGAGGCAGCGTTCCCCCGTGGCCCCCTTCGGCAAGAGGCGACTTCGGCGGAGGCAGTGACAGCCCCACCGACAGCAGCAGCAGCAGCAGCAGCAGCAGCCCGAGCAGCAGCAGCAGTGACGCCGGCGGTGCCGGCGGCCCGGGCGGCGAAGAGCCCGGCGACCCAGGTGGGGACGGCGGTAACGGTTGTGACCCCGGCGACTCCGAGAACCTCGAGGAGTTGAAGTATGATCCAGGCGACGACCGCTACCCCCGCGGGCTAGAAGGGAAGAACCTCCTCTGGGGCGCCTCGAACGCTGGCCCGCTGCGCCATGGGCTTGAAGTTGGGCCCGGAACAGCAGGCGTTCGGGGCCGAGGTCGACGCCAGCGGGTCGTCGCAACCACTCCCAGACCCACAGCTAAGGCCGACGAGAGATGACGAGCCCGCGGTGGAGAAGCCTGTGAGGGAGGCGATCGGATGCCTCATGTGGACGAAGCTGACGAGGCCAGACATCACCCTGCCTCTGAACAAGCTCCAGGAGATTGCCTACTCACCCACCGCGAGGATATGGAACGCGCTTGTGCGGATCATGTCCTACCTGAACTTCACGAAGGACTTCGGCATCACCTACGTACGGGGTTCAGGACAAGACCAAAGCGTGTTTGTCGATGCCAGCTACGCTGACAACGAAGTAGACAGGCGTTCTACGACCGGGCTAGCTGTGACCGTAGGTGGTACCGTAGTGTGTGCATCAACCAAGGCGCAGCGAGTGTCGGCTCAGTCGACCTCGGAAGCAGAGTATATGGCAGCCGGGGAGGGCGTGNTTCAGGACAAGACCAAAGCGTGTTTGTCGATGCCAGCTACGCTGACAACGAAGTAGACAGGCGTTCTACGACCGGGCTAGCTGTGACCGTAGGTGGTACCGTAGTGTGTGCATCAACCAAGGCGCAGCGAGTGTCGGCTCAGTCGACCTCGGAAGCAGAGTATATGGCAGCCGGGGAGGGCGTGAGGGAGGCGTTGTTTGTGCGTGGCGTTCTGTCGTTCATAGCGCCCGAGACGAGTGAGGCGAAGATCAAGGTCCTTGAGGACAACAAGGGGGCTCTCGCCTTAATCGAGAACCCGTTCAGCTCAGCGAGGAGCAAGCACATCGACGTGCGGTTCCATTATATTCGCGAGCTATTCAAGTCGGGCAAGATCACTGCAGAGTATGTTCCGACTGGAGAGCAGCACGCCGACATGCTGACCAAGGTCCTTGGCAGAGAGAAGTTTGAATACCACCGGAAGGCTCTGATGAACCTACCGATATAGTGTTCTCTTGTTCTGTTTGGTTTATGTTGTGGTTTTTGCACTTGGCATGTATGACCATGGTACGTCACGCTGGAAGCGTTGTGCCGGCGCGTCACCCGCGGCTGGAGCCTAGAAACGCCGAGAGTGTTGCTTCGGGTGTGTGTGTAATCAGCGTGACCGGTTCAATCCGTCCTGCCTTGGTCTTGTCTTGGAGGTGCGGCCGTTGGAATCCTCCGTGATAGCGACGGTTTCTATATTTCGGGTGGTAGAAGAGGGTTTTTGATCCGGTTGGCCGGGTTTTCCCTCGAGCATGTTGTTGTGTTGAGTCCCTTTGGTAGGTCAGGGGTATCCGTGCCCCACGTTAGGTTTGCCATTCGCGTGCAAACCGGGGAGGGTGTTCGTGTGTTTGGATACGGACTGGTTAGATCTACCGGCAACAACAGAGGGCACGCAGATGGGGCATATGTACACCTTGAAGTGGTTTCATGTGCGGGGACCCCTCGAACTCCAACGAGGGCTTCACTTCTCCCTACTCCCCTTGCGTGTCTAATACAAGAGATAAAACGTCTTCCCCTTCCAAGTAAAGGACATATACGAACATGATGCTGCTGTCCTCCGTAGCCGCCGTGAGGCCCGTGGCGGGGCCCACCCCCCCAGCCCCCCCCACTGCGGCTCGGCTGCTGCTGCGGTGGCGGTCCCCGAGGTTGCTCTTGCTGCTGAGGCCGCTGCTGTTGCGGGGGCTGTTGCTGTCGTTGAGGCTGCTGCTGTTGCTAAGGCTGCTGCTGTTGCTGAGGCTGCTGCTGTTGCTGAGGCTGCTGTTGCTAAGCCTGCTGCTGCTTGGTCTCCTGCTTCTTCCGTTGTCGACGCTGGGTGTAGCACTCGCTGTTGGTCTGCGACGAGTACGGATGGTAGTCGCAGCGCCTGTCTCCGTCCGCCCTGTTGTTGCTGCTCCGACCGCCTCCATTGCCGTCCTGACCCCCGCCGTTCCCACTGGACCCATTTTGGACACGTCCGTCGCCCCGGCTCCCACCGGCAGCGACGGAAGCGTGCCCCGCGCCATTGTGCGGCTCCCCCTCCCGTGCGGTCACCATATCCTGATGAGCATCTTTCACGACCTTTTCAAGGTGCTGACGGGTCAAATTGGGTGGCGGAAGGGCACGCAGCATAGCATTCTCCATCTTGTACTCGAAAGACAAGTTGTACACAACGTGCAAATTGGCATCATCGTCGGGGTATGTGACGACGTGTGAGGCTAATCTACTGCGCAAAACAGCAAATCTGCCAAAGTATTCTTGCGGACGTTCACCCACTCGCATTTTGATGGCATGGTATGCCAAAGTTAACGGTGTTTTTTCTGCTCTCGCCTGGGGTTCGTAGTATGCTAGCAATAGTTTCCAACCCCCACTGGGACTACCATCAGCGATGTTCTGGGTCAAGGCAGGCATGTAGGTGATTGTCGTGATGATGAAATTCCACGCCGTAATCGCCTTCTCTACCGTTCCAGGCGAGTGCATCCTACGTATGCTCTCCATGTCTACTCCTTCTAGCCCAACTGGAATTAATTCTGTGGTCACTCAATACCACTTCCCTGACTCCTTCTTGCGCAAACATTGCAATCATGTTCGATCGAAAAATCAAAAACCTTGTCTGTTCATCCTCCCCTTGCCTGTACATACCATCCCACGGCGCTAGGCGCTTAACCTCAGTCATCCTAAGAGTCGCTGCGCTACTTGGTACTCTACCCATGTCTGCGGGTGATATCTGAAGACGGCTGGTCAGGGCGTCGGAGAGAGTGCGGGCGATGTCGTCGGCGGACGGGCCCGCCGATGGTCGCCCCGCATGTTGCTGGTGGCGTGTCTCGTGGTCGTTCCCGTTCCGGACGTGATATGTCCTCTGCTGCTGCTCGTCTTGTTGCCTTGTAGTCTCGGCCAGCCTCGTTTCTACCCTCTCGTTCACCAACTCGTTGATCCGGGCATCGTCGTCCACTGCTNAGAGAGTGCGGGCGATGTCGTCGGCGGACGGGCCCGCCGATGGTCGCCCCGCATGTTGCTGGTGGCGTGTCTCGTGGTCGTTCCCGTTCCGGACGTGATATGTCCTCTGCTGCTGCTCGTCTTGTTGCCTTGTAGTCTCGGCCAGCCTCGTTTCTACCCTCTCGTTCACCAACTCGTTGATCCGGGCATCGTCGTCCACTGCTTGACGGTCACTCTCTCGGTCTCGATTTCGGTCGGGGGTGCTCATCGGTGACTGCTGCTGATCGCCGCAGAGCGACGTAACTCCAAACTAACTTCGACGCGAATATCGTTGACGACGTGTCATATGCTAGCGTGATCGATAATTCGGGTGGCTCAGTTCTGTGTGTTGGGAGTGTAGAGCAGCTGGGCCATGACGGGCCGTGGTAGGGGAGGGACGTATAGGAAAACGTGTTGTGTTCTTCGGGGGCGTGCTCGCGCTCGTAATCTGTCACGGCATCAAGCACGCGTCACGCTCATCACGCTCAAACTACCAAGCGGATCTCTCTGATTCCTCCGCATCTCATCACTGCAATTTCTGTACGTACGTACTGAAGATCTTACCCGTTAATCTATGCTACGAGTACCGCCAACATATCTAGACTAATATGTTGAAGGATGCATGCACGGGTTCGAATCCCGGCTGCTCACTTTCCCAAGCACCATTAAGTTCTTCTCAGGCAGCTTTTGGAGAGGGGTCCGTCCCCGGAGACCTTTACGCACTCAAACCCAAGTGATCCAGGCGGGTGCAAATGAGCTCTGAGCATATCGTTTATTCGACAAAGTTACACCATTAGACTAGTCAGCGCTGATTAGTCCAATGGTGTAACTTTGTCGAATAGGCTAGATGTTGTTGTGTCCGATAGAGATCCCCCATTCAGCGCAAAGGGGATGGTCGCACCACGTCGTGTGCAATTGGTCAAACACCCTCAATGCAGTTTTACAGTTTGCTTACAACTGTCTCCGGAAGTGGAAGCACAAGAAGAAGCCGAACACCCTTCGTAGGATGCAGCGCACCCTTCATGCGACTCGCCGAATACCTCACGGTGCTTCGCGCTTCTTGATGTGAGAGCCTGGTCCGGTGAGAACCCGGCGTGCTCCGTCCCGACTTTGTAGGGTTGCGAGGTCAATTGTCTAACGCCCATGGCATGCACGACTATGAGTACAATGAACGGTTGTGCTTACAACCCCCCCCTCTGAAGAACGACTTGATCGCTCGGACCTCATCTGCAGAATAATAAAGCGAAAGCAGCCTGCTATCCGCGTCTTCGTCGTTGTTCACCTTTCGTGCCGTTGTCATGCCCGAATGAGAATTACATTTTCGTGTGCTGCCTCTTGTCTGTGCAACTAACTCATCAACAACACATGCACGTTGTGACCCCCGACACCTCGTCTGCCCTCATAACTCCTAACGCCAGCGCACTCAGGTGCTCGCCAGTACCATACCTAAGACCGCTGCCGCCACGGCGACACCCTGGGTCCCCCCTATACATGGAGTCCGCGACGTCCTTGATGACTCGGACGACGACATTGACGACAACCACCCCATCCACCAAGTAGGGGACACGGACGATGACGCCGACGACGAGGATGGGGCGAACGGCTGCAGCCGCGACGACTCTAACGATAGCGTTGCATGCGCAGATCCACCTACCCTACCTGACAATCAGAGGAAGGGAGGACGCCCGACCCGCAAGGGACAACGGTCGACGTCCCCGCGGGCCGGCGCGGCCGGTCCTCCCGTCGATCTGGCGAGAGAGCAGCGGGGCGAGGAGGGGGCCACGCGGAAGAAAGCGTCCAGGGGCGCGTCGGGGGATCCACTGGATGTAGATTCGGTAGGACCGGAGCAGCCGGCGCCTAAGGGCAAGAAGAAGGCATCCGTCAAGACTAGGAATGCCTGTGGGAAGAAGGTGTCCGAGCCCGTGTCCGAGTCCGAGTCCGAGTCAGAATCCGACACCACCCATACGCTGCGGTCGGCCCGGAGGAAGGTGCCTCCTGAGCAGAGGAAGAAGCTTACCGAAATGTCGAAGTCGACATGCTCTGACCAGATCAAGGAGCGCGACGCCGCCTTCGCTGCCCACAACGAGGTGTCTAAGAAGAGGGTGAGGCAGACTGTCCTGGACCAGGAAGGCGTTGAGATAAGCAGTACAACGGTGTGATGTGGTAATATCGTGTGTTCCGCCGATGACACCCGACTACCGACGATGTATCTGTCCAGGCAGTGCCGGCATGTGTGGAGTTCTACCCGTATTATATGGCTTCGGGTGGATCAAACGTAAATCACACTCCGATCAAGTAGAACGCTATGCCACGTAGTTGAACACAGGCCGCCTCTGTAGAGTCAAACCTCTTTGGGTACTGATTCACCGCATGCGAGGGAAACGTTCCAATAGAAATCTAACATCGGTGTACTCGAATTGCCCGCCCGCGTTGACGCGAAGGAGGCTAAGCTGCTGAAGAGGAAGAAGGGGGAGGCGAAGAGCGCAGCGGTTGCGGCCCGGAAGGTGAGTCTATGGTGGTGGTACGCTCTGTCGGGTCATGTCCCCATAGCATTTCCCCTAACTCTAGTTGAACGCCACGGGTCCAACCTACATTTTGGGAACGTACTGTGAATGGAAAAACGCGCTGGACACTCTTACTGAACGTCATTAGAGTAGCGCCAATAGAGCTGGCTATTCTTGCGTGAGTTCGGCGGTTGCCGCACCATAGACTACCTTACCTGAGAAAGGTGGTGCCACAAATCAAGCTGTAGGCCGCTGGTCGCCGTCGCCCTTTTCTCGTCTTGCGCAATGAATGTCAATTCCAGGAGGACGCCGCCCTCTGCGTGCCCCCCTCCAAAATCCCGGGAGCAGCCGAATGTAGGGAACCCCAAGGTAGACCATCGTGCATGTACACTCACCTTGCCTTCGCTGCTTTTGATTGTTTCACGGCGCCGACAATCCAAACGATACTTTAAGTGATGTTGTTCCTTGATACTCGTCATTGTATCGGTATCAGGCCCGCACAACGAAGGAGACGCCTGCCCTAACTGCGGCCCTTCGCTACAATGACAAGAACGTCAAGGTAATGGTTGCGAGTTGTTGTTTTCGCCTTGCTCCTTCCTTAACGCTTCAATGGGCGCGTCCGAATGATGCTGCCGGCCGAGAAGTAAACGACTGAAGCACCAAGCCAAGTACAAGGAACTGTCAATATGTTCCCTATCCGTATCCTCGACATTGCCTCGCGCGTCGTTAATCGTCTTCGTCTTGCAGGCGCCCTTCGGCACGAAAAAGCCAGCCGCAACACTCGACCCATCTGCGGCGAAGAGCAAGAAACGTTTGAACAAGGTATGGAGGGAGATATGTCGTAATTGCCTTGACATTGATCCCCATTCGGTGCTTCCGTGCTCGCGTCCGAATCATGCTCCACGTCGAGAACTGAAAAGCCGCAGCATGGCCCCAACCTGAAGATATATTGTTCATGCCGTTTTTATCAATAAAATTTACGTTGCCACTCGTTGTTGCTCGTCTTTGTCTTGCAGGCGCTCCCCGGAACGAAGAAGTCAGCCGAGAGGGCCGCCCCCGCCGCAGCGAACCTGGACCCAAGCAAGAATGATCAGGTAACTCCCCGAGATTATCGTGTTAGAGTCGTTGCTCCCGTTTGAGAGGGTGGCGTGACCATTTCCTCCATCCTCATATACCCGACCCCCCTGTCATATCGGTTGAAAGAGGTCATGACTACCGTCATATGTCGGGACAATTTCGAGAAAGGTAACCTCTTACACAGTGGAGATCGGGAGCAACGACAGACACGATATCCTTGTTCGTTTTTCTCCATCTAATGTTCGTGCCTAGAGTTCAGCTGTAGTGTTTCGACAAAAGTTTTGTTGACTTAGAGGCAAACATTCCTAGCTATTGGGCATCGCGTTAATTTGGCTTGGCATGACGGCCTTTACGATCGACTTTTTATGTATGTCTGCATTTATCTGCAATTGTCGGAGGGCAAACAAAATAATAGTATCCTTGACTACAGCCCAGCAATCCATATGCAACGTACTGTACCAATGTAAGGACGTGTGGTGGACCGTAACGCGTGGAGTGAGCCGCTTGCCCGGTACGGCGTGCCCAGAGCAACTTTGGTGTAGTGGTCGCCACGGTGACGCCTTCCATCTCATGTTCTGTTGATGTTATGGGGTGTCAACGCAGATGAAAATTTCCTCGAAGGCAAGCTGACATGGCGATTGACGCTAGGAGGCGATTAACATTCATGTGGTTCATGCTTTTGGAACACATGCCGAGCAATACAACACGATTTTTTTTTTTTGTCTTCACTTCAAATCAGCGCTCACAGCACTGGTGCCGTTTACTCCAACCCGTGGTCACACAGAAGAGCCCCTCTCTACCCTCCCCTCCTGCGGTACTTTGCCTTCGATTTTTAATGCGAGAAGAGTTCAGCACTCTCTTCCCTCTGTGTACACACGAACTAGCGCTATCCACTGGGCCAGGAACGGGAGCGAGAGAAACACTCAATTTGCACGAAAAGCTCGTTTACGCCGGGATTTAAACCCCTGACCTGACCTCTAGGAGGTTTCGACTAGACCACCGGGGCGACCGAACACGATACAAAGACCCGACCACCTCTCCAACCAGGAGCTATCTAACGGTTGTATTGCCCATGAACAATGTACTTCGGCCTGCCGCAAGCCATCCGTAGCCTGTGACTTCTGCTGATGCGGTGCGATGGTGTTGAAAGCACACGCATTGCCTGCATTTATGAATACTCCCACGTCTGCCGGCAGATTCTCTTGGTGTGATTTCTGTTATAACCTCCCTGATAAGATCGACACCGCTGATCACAGAGAGTGCGACGGCACACGTGACTTGCACATACACGTGTGTGTTCATTTACGAGTTATTTCATATCTTTGCATCCTTCTCGCACTTACCACCATTTCCACCAACATTCCACTACTTCTGGGCACCTCCGTCTACACTCTATCGCAGTCTCTCCCTGAGTACGAGTCCGCGACAACCAATTTCGACCATCCATGTCGGAGCCTACTCGTCAGAGGTATCATCTTCTTGTGGAGCCACGACTGCCATAAGCTGATAAGCAATCCACTTTCAAACCGCGCCCGAACTACGTCAACACGCGTGTCGTCCACGCCATAAGACACGCACAAGTTGACATCAATATGTCGATTGTTTTTACTTTCGGCAGGCTAGTAAGGATCCTGTGTTGGCGAACCCGTCGAAAAAGTCTGGATACGAGGAAAAGAAGACGCGTGATGACACAACTTCCACGGTGAGATCATCCCATCTCCTGTTTCTCACCGCACGCATGAGCCTTTTCGGTGGCCCCGCCGACGTGATTATCAGGGATGAGACGGTGTGTGACAATACACTTAAAATAACGCTGTAGTCCATAGGAGAGACTGTGGGGTGAACATGTTCGGCACCTTTGCCGGCTAACGGTCTTCAATAGATGGAGTTGGCGTATTCCGTTCACTTCGTTGTGTGGAATGAGGACAGATAGTGGTATAAGGATGAGGTTTACCCTAGGCAACGAGCGAATAGCATTTAGAGGGTATTGCGACAAAAACACCCAACCCACAAGCTTTCATTTCATACACCTCTGACCTCTCACGTGAGTTGTTCCTTGAAATGCGCAATATGTCCGTACGACAAGGGTGCCGTCTGATGTTCCCTCCTAACGATATTCCACCCCGCCTCTTTTGCTGACATACTTAAACTATGTGTTTGGCTCCCACCTGACCGGTGCAAAACAGGGTTACAAACGAAATCGAATTTCGCACGGACACAGGAAGACCTGCGAGACGTTGCACAGATTTCAGACACTACCTCCATCTCCGAGGACATGGTATCGGCGACGTGCTCACCGACCTTGCCGCAAGGTTCCCCGCCCGGGTTTGCAGTAACGGCTTCGGAAAAATCTTACCTGAAGAAACTCCTCGCTATACAGAACGCGGTCGAGTCAGGGGACTCGGAGGAAGATGATGCCGACGAGTCCGTTGACGAGCGCGAGGACGCGCGTGCCGAGCCACATGGTAAGAACGACGTTGCCCTCGTCGTAAAGGGCTCAATCGCTGGCTCGATCCAAAATTTTCGTATTCCCATCTCACCGTAGGCGTAGGGCGCAGATGAACGACCGAACTACGCAGCCGGCACATGTATCATCGTCTCGGGGTGTTTATATGGAGAGCGTATCCGTCGGGCACCCACCATTAATCATGCAAACCTGCTATGTCCGTACCGATCTTCTCATGGTGACCTTATATCACTGCAATAACTTCATGCTACCGCGGACGTCATCGTTGTCTTGCAGGTGGCCTCGACAGCAACGACTCACAGGGTGCCGGCGACGGCTCGGCCGACGAAAGTGGAGACCCCCCCCTGGACCACTTTCGGGCCTGCGTCGCCGCCGCGCCACCCAGGAAGAAAGCCTCTTTGAAAGTGGCGGGAGTGGCGCGCGGCACTGTATCATCTACGAAACACCCGAATCGACGGCGTCAACGCAGTGATCACCACCATCCAGAACGATTCGAAGGACGCGGACGGCAACGTGGTTAAGGCACTCGTGGGGAACCCCACCCCTAATAAATTGATGGGCATTCATGGTTTTGTGTACAGACTCCTGCACTAGCGGCAAACGTACGGAAGCAACGACAGACGCCTCCACGTCCTCGCCCACGACTCCCCGAGATACGACGTTTCATTCCTGTGCGCTTGGACATGTACGGCTGACTGGTTGATAAACCTCGACGTGCTACCCGTGCTACCTTGTCCTGCTTCCTTACCATGTCGTGATCCTCGCAGGTGGCTCCTTCAGCTTGCGGCAGTGGATGTCTGCCACGACGACCCTTGCTGTCCAGAAACGACGTTCCGCAACGATGCCTTGAAGACGCACCACATTGAGGCGCACCACGCGCAGAAAACCATGATTAGCACCAAGCCCAAGAGCGCTAGGCGGAATGGTGGCAACACCAAACGTAAACGCTCCAAGTGACTGCGCGGTGACAACGTCCAGCCTCGTACCCCCAGCCAATTCGTTCATTTCAGCGGGGGATTTGTCGGGGGCTTCGGCGGGGTAGCAACCCTGGACTACTTTGTATCATTACGTCGTTCTAGCGGGCGGTGTCATCGGGTTAAATCCTAAGGACAGGGAGTTTTTACGGCAAAAGCAATTTTTCTCTCGCGTTCAGTCCTTGGTGTGAAACCCCGTACACAGCTGGAAATACATCTCGAGAGGAAAACAAGACATTTTCACCCTACGCCATCAGTCCATTGACACGTTTTGCCAGCTTCCATTTATGTCCTTGCCAGGTTCCATGAAAGTCCACGTCACTTTCACAAATTCCGTTGAATGTCCATAAGCGCTCCCTTCACTTTCACCAATGACCTTTCACCCCACACCACTTCTCGAATGATCCTCTTCACAACTTCCATGGAAGTCACCTCCACTTCCACCACTTCCGCCGACTGAACCTACGCGCTCCCTTCACTTCCACCAATGGCATTTCATCCTACACTATTGGACGAATGATGCATCTCGTCAGGTTCTCATGGAAGTTCACTTCACCTCCACTTCCGTGGACTGAACCCACGCGATCCCCTCACTTCCACCAGTGGCGTTTCACTCTAAAATATTGGACGAATGGCCCGCTTGGCAGCTTCCACTTCCACGACTTACGTCGAATGAACCCAAGCACTTCCTTCACTTCCACCAATGGCGTTCCACCCTACACTATTGGACGAATGATGCATCTCGCCAGCTTCCATGGAAGTCCACCTCAGTTGCACCACTTCCGTGGACGGAACCCACGCGCTCCCCTCACTTCCGCCAGTGGCGTTTCACCCTACGTTTTTGGACGAATGTCCCTCTTGACAGCTTCCATGGAAGCCACCTCCACTTTCACGACTTCCGTAGACTGAACCCACGCGCGCCCCTCACTTCCACCAATGTCGTTTCACCCTACACTACTTGACAAATGATCCTCTTGACAACTTCCACGAAAGTCACTTCCATGTCCACCACTTCCGTCGAATGAATCCAAAGTACTCCCCTCACTTCCACCAATGACGTTTCACCCTGCACGGTTTGACGAATGATCCCCTTGACAGCGTTTATGGAAGTCACCTCCACTTCCATGACTTCCGTAGACTGAACCCAAGCGCTCTCTTCACTTTCACCGGTGGCGTTTCACCCTATGCCATTTGCCAAATGATCCTCTTGACAACTTCCATGGAAGTCACCTCCATTTCCACCACTTCCGTCGAATAAACCCGAAGTCCCCTCACTTCCACCAATGGCGTTTCACCCTAAATGTTTTGACGAATGATCCCCTTGACAACTTCTATGGAAGTCACCTTCACCTCCACGACTTCCGTAGACTGAACCCAAGCGCTCCCTTCACTTCCACAAACAGCGTTTCACCCTACGCAATTTGCCAAATGATCCTCTTGACAACTTCCATGAAGTAACCTCCACTTTCACCTCTTCCGTAGACTCAAGTGCTCCCTTCGCTTCCGCCAATGGCGTTTCAACCTACCCTATTTGACAAATGAACCTCTTGACAACTTCCATGGAAGTCACCTCCACTTCCATGACTTCCGTAGGATGAACCCACGCGCTCCCTAAGTTTCACCGATGGCCATTCATCCTACACTATTGGACGAATGATGCATCTCGTCAGCTTCCATGGAAGCCGCTTCCACTTCCGGGAATTCTGTAGACTGAACCCATGCGCTCCTCTCACTTCCACCGGTGGCGTTCCACCCTACACGTTTTGACGAATGAAGCATCTTGTCAACTTCCATGAAAGTCCACTTCAGTTCCACCACTTCCGTGGACTGAACCCACGCGCCCCCTTCACTTTCACCAGTGGCGTTTCACGCTACACTTCTTGACAAATGATCCCTTGGACAACATTCATGGAAGACACCTCCACTTCCATGACTTCCGTCGAATGAACCCAAGCACTCCCTCAGTGTCACCGATGGCGCTTCACCCTACGGTATTTGACGAATGATCCCCTTGACAACTTCCATGGAGTTACCTCCACTTCCACGACTTCCGTAGAATGAACCCACGCGCTCCATTCACTTTCCGAATGCCGTTTCACCCAACGCTATTTGGCAGATGACGCTCTTGACAACTTCCATGGAAGCCACCTCGACTTCCGCGACTTCGGTAGACTGAACCCATGCGCTTCCCTCACTTCCGCCGGTGGTGTTTCACCTTGCACTTCTTGACAAATGAACCTCTTGACGACGTCCATGGAAATCACCTTAACTTCCACCACTCCAATAGACTGAACGCGCGCGCCCCCCTCACTTTCACTGATGGCGTTTCACGCTACACTATTTCACAAATGAACCTTATGGCAACTTCCATGGAAGTCACCTCCACTTCCACTACTTCCGTAGAATGAACTCAAGCACTCCCCTCACTTCCGCGAATGGCATTCACCCTACGCTATCTGCCAAATGATTTCTATTGACAACTTTCATGCAGTTTCCTCCCCTCCCACCTCTTCCGTAGACTCAACTGCTCACTCCTCTTCCGCCAATGGCGTTGCACCTTACACTATTTGACAAATGAACCTCTTGACAACTTTCATGGAAGTCACCTCCAGTTCCACGACTACCTTAGAATGAACCCACGCGCCCCCCTCACTTCCACCGATGGCGTTTCATCCTACACTATTGAACGAATGATGCATCTCGTCAGGTTCCATGGAAGTCCACTTCAGTTTCACCACTTCCGTGGACTAAACCCACGCACTTACGTTCACCAGTGGCGTTTCCCCGTTCGTTATTGGACGAATGGCCCGCTTGACCGCTTCCACTTCCACGACTTGCGTAGAATAAACCCACGCGCTTCCTTCACTTCCACCGATGACGTTTCACCCTTCACTCTTGGACGAATGAAGCATCTCGTCAACTTCCATGAAAGTCCACTTCAGTTCCACCGCTTCTGTAGACTAAAGTGCTCCCTTCGCTTCCGCCAATGGCGTTCACCCTACACTATTTGACAAATGACCTCTTGACAACTTCCATTGAAGTCACCTCCACTTCCACGACTTCCGTAGAATAAACTTAAGCGCTCCCTTCACTTCCACCGATGGCGTTTCACCCAACACTTTTGGACGAATGATGAATCTCGTCAGCTTCCATGGAAGTAAACTTCAGTCCCACCACTTCCGTGGACTGAACCCACGCGTTATCCTCACTTCGACCAATGATCATTCACCCTACATGATTCGACGAATGGCCCTCTTGACAGCTTCCACTTCCACGACTTACGTAGAATGAACCCACGCGCTCTCTTCATTTCCACCGATGGTGTTTCATTCTACACCATTCGACGAATGAAGCATCTCGTCAACTTCCATTCAGTTCCACCACTTCCGTGGAATGAGCTCAAGCGCTGCCTTCACTTCCACCGATGGCGGTTCACTCTACCCCTTTGGACGAATGATGCATCTCGTCAGCTTTCATGGAAGTCACCTTCACTTCCACGACTAGTGCAAGACGAACCCATGCGCTCCACTCACTTCCACCAATGGCGTCTCACCCTACACTGTTGGCCAAATGGTGCATCTCGTCAGCTTCCATGGAAACCACCTCAACTTCCACGACTTCCGTAGACCGAACCCACGCGCGTCCCTCACGTCCACCAATGGCGTTTCACTCTACACTACTTGCGAACGATCCGCTTGATAACTTCCACGGAAGTCACCTCCACTTCCACCATTTCCGTCGGATGAACCCAAGTACTCCGCTAACTTCCATCAATGGCGTTCCACCCTGCACGTTTTGACGAATCATCCCCTGGACAACTTCCATGGACGTTACCACCACATCCACGACTTCCGTAGAATGAAGCCAAGCACTCCCCTCACTTCCATCAATGGCGTTTCACCCGACGCATTTTGGCGAATCATCCTTTTGACAACTTCGACGGAAGGCGTGGAAGTGGAGGTGGCTTAGATCGAATGAACCCACGAGCTCCTTTCACTTTCACCGGTGGTGTTTTACCCAACGCTGTTTGGCAAATGATCCTCTTGACGACTTCCACGGAAGACATGGAAGTGGAGGCGACTTCTGAAGAGTAAACCCACGAGCTCCCTTCACTTTCACCAATGGCGTTTCACCCAACGCTGTTCGGCAAATGATCCCGTTGACAACTTCCATGGAAGCCATCTCGACCTCCACGACTTCCGTAGACTGAACCCATGCGCTTCCCTCACTTGCACCGGTGGCGTTGCACCCAACGCTGTTTGCCAAATGAATCTCTTGATAACTTCCATGGAGTTACCTCCACTTTCACCTCTTCCGTAGACTCAAGTGCTCCCTTCGCTTCCGGCAATGGCGTTTACTCCTACGCTATTTGCCAAAAGAACCTCTTGACAACTTCCATGGAGTTACGTCCACTTCCACCGCTTACGTAGACTCAAGTGCTCCCTTCGCTTCCGCCAATGGCGTTCCAATCTACGCATTTTGACAAATGAAGCTCTTGACAACTTCCATGGAAGTCACCTCCACTTCCACGACTTCCGTAGAATGAACCCAAGCGCTCCCTCAGTTCACCGATGGCGTTCCATCCTACACTATAGGACGAATGATGCATCTCGTCAGCTTCCATGAAAGCCACCTCGACTTCCACGACTTCCTAGACTGAACCCATGCGCTTCCCTCACTCCCACCAATCGAGTTTCACCGTACGCTATTTGCCAAATGATCCTCTTGACAACTTCTATGGAGTTACCTCCACTTCCACCTCTTCCGCAGACTCAAGTGCTGCCTTCGCTTCCGCTATTGGCGTTTCGCCCTACACCATTTCGGTATTATCCTCTTGACAACTTCGATGGAGTTTCCTCCACTTCCACCTCTTACGTGGACTCAAGTGCTCCCTTCACTTCCGCCAAGGGCGTTTCACCCTACACTATTTGACAAATGAACCTCTTGACATCATCAACGGTAGTCGCTTCCACTTCCACGACTTCCGTAGAATGAACCCAAGCGCTCCCTCAGTTTGACCAATGGCGTTTCATCCTTCACTATTGGACGAATGATGCATCTTGTCAGCTTTCATGGAAGCCACCTCGACTTCCACGACTTCCGTAGAATGAACCCACGCGCTTCCCTCACTTCCATCAATGGCGTTTCACCCTTTGCCATTTGCCAATGATCCTCTTGACAACTTCCATGGAGTTACCTCCACTTCCAAGACTTCCGTAGACTCAAGTGCTCCCTTCGCTACCACCAATGGCGTTTCACCCTACGCTTTTCTCCAAATATACCTCTTGACAACTTGCATGGAGTTGCCTTCACTTCCACCTCTTCCCTAGTGTCAAGTGCTCCCTTCGCTTCCGCCAATGGCGTTTCACCCTATGCAATTTGACAAATGAACCTGACAACACCAACGGGAGTCACCTCCACTTCCACCACTTCCGTTTAATGAGCCCACGAGCTCAATTCACTTTCATCGGTGGCGTTTCACCCAACGCTGTTTGGCAAATGATCCTCTTGACCATTTCCACGGAAGGCATGGAAGTGGAGGTGACTTGTGTAGAATGAATCCACGACCTCCCTTCACTTTCACCAATGACGTTTCTCCCAACGCTGTTTGGCGAATCATTCTCTTTACAACTTCCATGGAAGTCACGTCGACCTCCACGACTTGCGTAGAATGAGTTTAAGCGCTTCCCTCGCTTCCACCGGTGGCATTTCACCCTACGCTGTTTGCCAAATTAACCTCTTGACAACTTCCATGGAGTTACCTCCACTTCCACCTCTTCCGTAGTGTCAAGTGCTCCCTTCGCTTCCGCCCATGGCATTTCACCCTACGCAATTCGACAAATGAACTTCTTGTCAACATCAACGGTAGTCACCTCCACTTCCACCACTTCCGTAGAGACCACCACGGGATCTTGGAGGAGACGAATCAAGCGACCGAAATCCCCAACACCTACGACGAAGCCATGAGCTCTCCCCAGCGCTAAGAATGGAAAGGAGCGTGCAGCAAAGGAATGGACAGTCTGCGGAAACACAACGTCTACAATCTGGTGCCCCTCAGTAGCGTTCCCAAGGGAGAGAAGATCCTCGCAACGAAATGCGTTTTCAAGAAAAAGCTGGACGGGCGCTTCAAAGCTCGCCTGGTAGTCGGAGGACATCGTCAAGAGCCAGGACAGGATTACGGACGCCGCTNGCATGACGTGCGCCATTGGCTGCCACAACAACTGGCCCATCTACCAACTGGACGTTGTCGGTGCCTTCTTAAACGCCCTCTGCAACAGAGACGTGTACCTCAGACCCGCCCCCGATACATCCGCCAAGAACTCCGCGACAGGAGAACTCATGGTGTACAAACTAGNGCGTTTTCAAGAAAAAGCTGGACGGGCGCTTCAAAGCTCGCCTGGTAGTCGGAGGACATCGTCAAGAGCCAGGACAGGATTACGGACGCCGCTACGCCCCAGTATGCCGTATCGGGAGCATTCGCATGACGTGCGCCATTGGCTGCCACAACAACTGGCCCATCTACCAACTGGACGTTGTCGGTGCCTTCTTAAACGCCCTCTGCAACAGAGACGTGTACCTCAGACCCGCCCCCGATACATCCGCCAAGAACTCCGCGACAGGAGAACTCATGGTGTACAAACTAGAACGGAGCCTCTACGGCCTATCGCAGTCGCCGGCGCTCTAGAACGACACCCTGGACGAGTCTCTCATGGTGTTCGGATGGAAAAGGACTCAATCCGACCCCTGCGTGTACGCGTATACCAGCGGCAACATCATCGTGATTCTCACGGTCTGCGTAGACGACATTCTCATGACGGGAGGAGACCAGCAGCTCGTGCACCAGAAGAAGGAGCTCACGGATCGATTCGAGATGACCGACATGGGAGAGGTGAAGCGGATCCTCGGGATCAACGTAGAGCGGGACTACGATCAAGGAACCCTGAACATTTCACAGGAGCACTATGTGAACACACTTCTGGAACGATTGGGAATGCAAGAGGCCAACCCAGTGAGCATTCCTGGATACGGAGCGGAAATTCCACGAATCAACCTCAGGACCAAATTCTTGGACCCACGGACCAGAAAATCTACCACTCGATGACGGGAAGCATCCTCTACCTGGCCCAGTGCACGCGATTCGACCTCTCTTACGCGGCCCTACAATCGTCCAAGGCCTGCAGCAACCCAGCGCACGTGAACATGACAGCAGCCAAGCACGTTCTGCGATACCTTCGGGGTAATCCAGTTCTTCCTATCGTCTACAAGAGAGGACAGTTTCGGCTACCGGCGTTTACGGATTCATCCTTCGGAGCAAACCCCGACAACGGAAGATCTACCACGGGACCTCTTCTTCCTGGCTGAAGGACTCATCAGCTACGGTGCGAAGACTCACTCTAACCGCGCAAAGCACGGTCGAAGCCAAGATTCAAGCACTTAGCTACCCAGCCAGAGAGGCGGTCTATGTCTCAAATTTTATGACGGAACTCAACTTCAACACCTTCGGATCTGTTCCCATCAACAGCGACAACACTGGAGCGCTGACAGTGGCCGGGATTGCCATGCACTCTCAACGCACGAAGCACGTGGCCCTGAGGTACTTTTTCATCCGGGAGGTAGTACTGCGGGGACAAGTCACTCTTCACCACCGGCCCAGCGAGCACCGATTGGCTGATATCGTGACCAAGCACCTACCAAAGCACCGATTCGCGTGTTGATCGAATATCTGTTAAGCTTCCTACCATGCGCATCATACAAGAAGTAATCAATTTTCGATACGATGCCAACGGAGGGGTCTAGGCAGAAATGGATATGGTGATGCGGTAGACCATTGTGAATTAGTTGCTTGATCGAGGGGTCGTGTCAGGAAAAATCGTGCGTCGAGACCACCAGTAGTCGGACACGGTTTGACCTTTGAATACGATTGCAGCAACTAGTCTGCGTAGCAGCAGAAAAGAATCAATCTCTCCGTGGCATGTTTTCCCTTGTTCCAGAAATATTCCGGAAGCATGCTAGGTCAAGGTCGACCGGGACACCAACGAAGAACGTGTGAAGCTTCTGGAAACCTTCTGGAACCTTCCGCAACCTTCTGTAAGCTTCTGTAAGCGTTCTAGACCTAGGTTGCACTTGATACTTTTCTAGAACGTAGGAGGGCTTCCAGAATCATTCTGGAAGCATTCTAGACCTTTCGTGTGATTGGCTTATTTGTCCAGTATTCGAGGAAAGTGGTGCAGCCCTAAGCCCGCCACCCCTCTCACTCCTCTTCAGTACCAGCAACATCAATCTGACTCGAGAGTCAGCAATGAATAAAAACATCTTCATATTTCCATTCGAAGTCTCTCGCGGTTAGAGCCGCGCAGAGTGTAAACCTCTGAGGTAGGCTACACAGCCTCCTGGCATCTCCAGCATCGTACTGCTGCTAGTGCACAGCGAAAATACGCTGACAGTTTCACCCTACACTATTTGACAAATGAGCCTCTTGACAACTTCCATGGAAGTCACCTCCACTTCCACGACTTACGCAGACTGAATTCAGCGCGCCCTTCTCTTCCACCAATGGCGTTCAACCTACACTATTTGACGAATGATCCTCTCCCCAGCTTCCATGGAGGTCAACTTCAGTTCCACGACTTCCGTAGAATGATATACTTGTAGCGCTCCCTTCATTTCCACCCATGGCGTCTCACGCTACATGATTGGACCAATGATGCACCCCGTGAGCTTTCGTCGAAGTCAACTTCATTTTCATAACTTCAGTAGAATGAACCCAAGCGCTTCCGCGACTTCCACAAGTGGGGTTTAGAGTGCCTCACTTGATTATTAACATGGCGTCAGGGTTGGACCGCACGTGACCACACAGCAGGTTGCAGCTGTTGAAGCTGCAGAACCCACGCACAGCAGACACCACAAGCTCAGCGGGTACAGCGACAATCATACAGCGGGCAGACAGCGGGCAGACAGCGAGCAGAGGCGCAAACAGGCTCACTCCCGGCGCAGACAAAGGCGCGGAGAGAGGGAGGCCCTAAGCAGCCCATAGCTTCACAGGGCGAGAGCTGCTGATAGTCAGAGGGAAACCGATAGATCACGAGCAGAAATGTGCGTTGGTGCGTGAGCGTGTGTGCAATTGTGGCATAATTGAAATGCGTAACGGCCCTTTTTGTCTTCTTCCGTACACACAGCACATTAAGAACGAATTGTACTTCGTACAGGGTACAGAAGGTATGAATCTGGACGGGCACGAAGGATCACATAGAAAACAGCACAACCGATCACACGGCTTATTGCAACAACACTGAATCCTTTCTCTTTCTCTCTCTCTCTCACACACAAAACAAACTTTTCATTGGTCAGCCGGTTAGCGCGGTCGATACTAGTAATAATAACACACACAACCGCAGGCCACGGGTGGACCGACAAAGAGCGGCCGCTAGGCGACAGCGAGATATACCGCGGACCCCAGAACAGCGGGCGGCTAACCGAGTAAGAGATCATGCTACCAGGCGCCGGCAGCCGACACCACAAGCAGCTGGCGGCAGACTGACACAGGACAAAGTCAGTTGCAACTAGTGTTTGTATAGTCTATGTTGTTCGTATATGTCCTTTACTTGGAAGGGGAAGACGTTTTATCTCTTGTATTAGACACGCAAGGGGACTAGGGAGAAGTGAAGCCCTCTTTGGAGTTCGAGGGGTCCCCGCACATGCAACCATTTCAAGGTGTACATATGCCCCATCTGCGTGCCCTCTGTTGTTGCCGGTAGATCTAACCAGTCCGTATCAAACACACGAACACCCTTCCCGGTTTGCACGCGAATGGCAAACCTAACGTGGGGCATGGATACCCCTGATCTCCGAAGGGACTCAAAACAACAACAGGCTCGAGGGAAAACCCGGCCAACCGGATCAAAAACCCTCGTCTAACACCCGAAATATAGAAACCGTCGCTATCACGGAGGATTCCAACGGCCGCACCTCCAAGACAAGACCAAGGCAGGACGGATTGAACCGGTCACGCTGATTACACACCNCACACGAACACCCTTCCCGGTTTGCACGCGAATGGCAAACCTAACGTGGGGCATGGATACCCCTGATCTCCGAAGGGACTCAAAACAACAACAGGCTCGAGGGAAAACCCGGCCAACCGGATCAAAAACCCTCGTCTAACACCCGAAATATAGAAACCGTCGCTATCACGGAGGATTCCAACGGCCGCACCTCCAAGACAAGACCAAGGCAGGACGGATTGAACCGGTCACGCTGATTACACACCCGAAGCAACGCTCTCGGCGTTTCTAGGCTCCAGCCGCGGGTGACGCGCCGGCACAACGCTTCCTGCGTGACGTACCATGGTCATATATGCCAAGAGCTAAAACCACCACATAAACCAAACAGAACAAGAGTACACTACATCGGTAGGTTCATCAGAGCCTTCCGGTGGTACTCCAACTTCTCTCTGCCAAGGACCATGGTCAGCATGTCGGCGTGCTGCTCTCCAGTCGGAACATACTCTGCAGTGATCTTGCCCGACTTGAATAGCTCGCGAATGAAATGGAACCGCACGTCGATGTGCTTGCTCCTCGCTGAGCTGAACGGGTTCTCGATTTAGGCGAGAGCCCCCTTGTTGTCCTCAAGGACCTTGATCTTCGCCCCACTCGTCTCGGGCGCTATGAACGACAGAACGCCACGCACAAACAACGCCTCCTTCACGCCGTCCCCGGCTGCCATATACTCTGCTTCCGAGGTCGACTGAGCCGTCACTGGCTGCGTCTTGGTGGATGCACACACTACGGTACCACCTACGGTCACAGCTAGCACGGTCGTAAAACGCCCGTCTACTTCGCTGTCAGCGTAGCTGGCATCGACAAACACGCTTTGGTCTAGTCCTGACCCCCGTACGTAGATGATGCCGAAGTCCTTCGTGAAGTTCAGGTAGGACATGATCCGCACAAGCGCGTTCCATATCCTCCCGGTGGGTGAGTGGGCGATCTTCTGGAGCTTGTTCAGAGGCAGGGCGATGTCTGGCCTCGTCAGCTTCGTCCACATCAGGCATCCGATCGCCTCCCTCACAGGCTTATCCACCGCGGGCTCGTCATGTCCCTTCGACCCAAGGTCGGCATCGGTGGCAGCAGGGGTGAAAGCGGTCGTGGTTACATCAAACCGCTTCAGCATACTCTCAATGTATGCTGTCTGGGACAGCTTGGTGATGCCATTTTCTACATCCATGGCGATAGCACACCCGTCGTACCAGGTACACTCCCCAAGATCTTTCACCAGAAACTTCTTGTTGAGGGAAGCGAACAACTCCTCTCTCTCTCCCTCGTCTGCCGCCACTAAGATGTCATCAATGTAGATCACGATGAGACCTACGACCTCTCCATCCACCACCTTCCGGAAGACACACGGGTCAACCCTGCACTGCTCGTATCCATTCTCGATGAGGGCATCGGCAGCTTCAAACCCCCACTCACGGCCACTCTTCTTTAGGCCATACAAGGCACGCGCAACCTTGACCACCTTGCCGGACATGCTACCACAGCCTTCCGGGAACCTGAGATATACTTCTTCTTTTAGCTTAGCGTGGATGTACGATTGCTTCACATCGCAGTGAGCGAGCTTCTTGCCCTTTTCAGTGGCTACGGCAATCACCGTCTTGATAGACGCTGCAGACGGGCACGCTGAGGATGAATGGCGGAAGTCGATGCCGGGGATTTGAGAGAAACCCCGCGCAACCACACGGGCCTTAAAGTCGACTATCAGGCCCTTCTTATTCTTCTTCCAAGAGAACACCCACTTCTATTGCCTTCCGCCTCTCGGGCAGCTCCTTGACCTTGGTAAAGGTTCCAGTCTTGTCGTGGCCATACATATCTTTCTTCATGGCCGCCTCCCAGAAAACCTTGTACTTGGAAAACATCACATCCTTGTACGTCATCGGTACTGCTTCCACATCACTCGGCTTCTGCCCGATTGGCGAGGTCATACTTAGCTGTGGGTCTGGGAGTGGTTGCGAAGACCCGCTGGCGTCGACCTCGGCCCCGAACGCCTGCTGTTCCGGGCCCAACACCTCCTGCATCTCGCGCCTGTACATCTCCTCCATACGGCGTGTCTGCTCCTCGTCCCACTGCTCCTTCACAAGCGAGTGGTAGATGTTGTCCTCCACAATCCCCGTCCCGCCAGTTTCCAGGATGGTCGCCAGCAGTGCCTCTTCCGGGTCCAGGTGTTTCTCGGGGCCCCGGCATCCCCCCGGCGCCTTGCATTTCCCGGGTCTGCTTCCGCGTGCGGCCACTCTCAAGCCCATGGCGCAGC